GAGCTATGGTCCCAGAGATCACATGGTATAGTACGGGGGTGATCAGGTTTGTCTGACTGCAAAACCCATATTCCTAAACATCAAATTATGTTGCCCAGTGTGCAACCATCCTGGCAGATACATCCAGATCATCTATAGTATGAACCTAATGTTTCAAGCTTAGAGAAGACAAACATAACACCTGTAGTTCCTTAAAGATTGCTAAGCTTTCCATGTACTTTGCCAAGGTAAAACTGCAGAAGCCTGAGCGTCTAAAAAGTTATTACATCATGCTGTCCCTCCTGCTAAAAACTGTTTCTCTCACGAGTACTCTGAATTAAGGGTTCTCTTACAGGGCTTGCACATACTCAACGTGTTCTCACAAAGTCTTTTATATCAATTCCAGCTGTGAAGACATGGTTTGACTGCTAGTTGAGAATAATGAAAAGGCTACCAAATAATGGAAAAGTTAAGCAGACCACCCTTGCTGAAAAATGGGGTCAGAGGAAGAGGTTGATTTATATATATCATAATATTTTACTTAAAATAACAAAGGCCACCTGTCCATTATTTTCTTTTGTTTTCTATTTTATGTACTTTCAGGGTTTGTTGTGGTTGCAACATACATGTCAAATCAGCTGAGTGAGAAAATAAATGCATCAACGAGAACATTAACTATGGTAGCTACTTACTATTAAGGGGGATATTTAAGTAGCAAATGAAGCAAACAAAAATGAAGTTTATATATAATGGAGTTGCATGTTAAGCTGGAGTTTGGATTCTAAATTTAAATAACTTAAAAATTACATGGAAACAAAGTTACCTATGAAATCTTTAAAATGCTTATAGAGTGCAGCATTTATGATTTTGCACCTACTCTATGACTTTCTAGATTATTTTATTAATTCCTCTATTTTTTAAAAGCAATGTTTCTTCATAGCCTCCAGTTAGTTTCTGCAGATTGCTCTGGAGCAGTTACCACCCCAAAGCCTCACCATTTATTCAGTCATTTCCACACTCTGTCGATTTTGAGGGACATCCTTAAAGTATTGACACCTTTGATGTCAAAGTATTTTTAATGAGCATGACGTTTCTTGCTCATTGTGTCTTTCCCTAAGTGAGTTTTGCCTCAAATTTTATGGCACATTGAAACCACCTATAAAGTTGTCAAGATCCTAATATCCAGGCACCCCTCTGCCAATTTAATCAAAATGTCTGGGTAACATTCAGGTTTCAGTGTATTTAAAGCTCCCTGGTCGGTTCTAATGATAGCCATATTTGAGAATCAGTAGTCAAAGGAACAAACTCAGCGGTTGTGTGAATGAAAAATACTGCAAACCATGTCAGTAAACAGAGAATGTTGAAGCCATCAAGTCATCAGTGGCTGCCACCAACCCCCAATGGGGACAGGCTTGCAGCCCAGCCTCTGCAGCCACTCATAATGGTGCCCTCTGAGCGGACTCAGAATAAGAAAGGAGAGGATACTGGCCCTAGATAGCTAGGTGCTTGTCAAAGGAATAAATTCAGTGAGCCCAAACGTTTGCTTCCTCCCATACATAGAAAAGCGCTAAATTCTTTAACCTGAGATGCTTGGTTTTCTTTAGTTGACAACCAATCTTTTAAGGTTCCAACCCCGTGGTCTTTGTTGTAAAGCTCCTATATAGCCTAGCCCCTCCCCTACCTCTCCAGAGCGGTCCCTCAGGGCTGCATCCTCAGAATTGTCTACCGAATAAAACATAACTCTCAAATTTTAGGTTGTGCATTTATTTCAGTTCACAGTTTGAATGGCAGGCATAACTCACACATACTTCCAAAGTTACTTGTTTCTCTTAGTTTTGTTTGCCCAACCTATGATTGAATGAGTCCATCATGCCAGTCAAATTCAACTTAGAATGTGCCTATTTTTTTATGTGAAAAGACTCACCAAGGTTTAGGAGGACAAGAACAGTTTTAAGAAGATTAATTTTCAGTACCTCCGTTTCCCATGCCTATCTCTTTGTGAAAATGATTTGCCTGAGAGCACCTATGGTTTTGGTCCTTTTGTATATTGCCTTTTCAAAGCCCAGCCTTCTCCCAGTTTACAAATGAAAATATTTCTCACTCATCTGAAATCTTGTATGATTCCTTTCTCCAAGGTATAAAACTATTCAGAGTTCTAACAGTTTAGGAAAACACTCGCATCTAATTAATAAGACAAATTTCAAGCAGAAGCTAGATTTATGTTTAATGATTAATCATCAAAATTGGAAGTTTATAGGCGATTTTAATCAGTTTATACTAAAG